ATGTAGCAATGATTGTTGACATTACCGCTACCATTCCACAAGACAACAATCTCATGAAAGCTGAAAAACATAAACAAGTAAAGTATCTGGACATGGCCCACGAGATTGTCGACATGTGGGTTGTGGATTAAGCAATAATTGTACCGATAGTCATATTGGTCCATGGATTAATAGCTAAGAGCCTCGACCAACATCTTCAGAGGCTCGCGTTAGGCAGTTGGATTAAGGGCCTGATCAGGGCAGAAATCAGCTCTTCTCGATGCGGACGTATTGTAAGGAGTATTCTGTCTCTGGAGTCCTAACCACCAATATCTTGGTCAATGTATCCGATACCGACGTGACACTATTTTTTATATTTTTAAATGTACTTTGATTTTTGTACATAAATAAAATGTATATATTTAATGTAATATAGATATAATATACCTAATAAATTATTGCGTTTCTAACCTATTTTTCCAATAATCTGTACGTGTGACGTCAAGTTACAACATACAACAATAGGCAGATTGCCCATGCGTGACCCTATTAACAGGTAGACAGAGTATTTCAATGAGTCTTTAAATTAGCATTTGTTTATATTATAATACACTTATGTAGTAGTACATTAAAGACGGTTTTTTTTAAAGATAAATTGTCAAGATTGCCCAGTATATTAAACAAATTTCCATTTTCCGTGCAAGACATCCGCTTTGTGAAACCAGTTTACATCATCCATTTTAATTATTTTAATGAATTTAAGCCGACATCAGTACCTAACCTTTTTTGTTTGTTTCATATAATTTAACTTATTCCGCATTAACCTCAAGTTTTTGACTCACGTTGTTAAATTAATAATGGTGTATGAAATATACACATACGTGTACTATTACGTGTTGTGTGTTTCACAGCGTCATTCCTTCAATTCTATGACGCGTCACCGAACATGTCTGCATCATCTAATTGCCCAGACGTTTACCTCTGTGTTAAATACCTGAGTCACATAAATATTTAAACGGTTATGGTCCTAATGTGCTACAGAGAACGTGAAATACAATCAAGTAATTTTTATAAACAGAATTCACGAATAACACATGCATGACTTACAACAATTTCTTAAACAACTATTAAAAGTATTGTGATGAATTAAATGTAATGAAAAAAGACAACTCCCGCATTAGGAATATATCTTAGGACTTTGCAATCATACATGAAACGGACACAAAGAACACCCAGACTCAGAACTAGAATTTGTGGATCACACAAAGTGCCGTCCCATGTGGGTATTGAACCCACAACACTCAGCGTAGTAGTAAGTGGCGTGGCGACAGCTTAAACCACTACGCCATCCGTGCAGTCAATGCAAGATGTTAGGTCAGGAAAATATGATGCTGAAGAATAATTCTATGTTTAGGATCAAACAAGAAAATTCTTTTAAAAAAAGTTTAACCGATTTCAATCAAACAATATTAACAAAGAGCACTAAAAACCTAGCCGCAATCGCATTGATTTGCTATCATTTTTTAAGAGTACCGTTGTCTCCGAAACCCATTATATGAAATTTAAATGGAAACATTTCGAAATAACCCTCTTTCGAATCAAAAAAAGAATTTTGAAAATACGTGTGTACATGACGGAGTTATGCCCGAACATACATAAAAGAAACGTAAACATCCGAATTGATAACCTCCTCTTTTTTGAAGTCGGTTAATAAAAGGGGTGGTAAATGGCCACAGAGCAATGTTAAATTTTTAAAATAGATATTGACTAGTTTTTGAATTTAAGTTAATTTAATTTTGTTACGAAAACTTTGGTTTGATCATCATAAAACTTCATTCAGTATAAGTAATTAAAATTTAAAATTAAAAAAACCCCGACACACATCTTGGACTTGAAATTTGTCCTAGTGTATAGTATTCTACTAGTCCAGCCCTTTCATTTGATACCCATATTGAAGGAGTTGTGAAAAAATATGTAATCGGCCATTGTGTGATTTTCATCAAACATAGCTAAGAACACTCCCGACTAATTCACCTTTCAAACAAAAAAACTAAATCAAAATCGGTTTATCCGTTCGCGAGCTACGATGCCACAGATACACGCACAGAGACACGTCAAACTTATAACACCCCGTCGTTTTTGCGTCGGGGTTAAAAAGGGTCTGTTTGATTAATTTCTCGTCTTTCCCTAACGGGGGTGATACCTTTCCTGCCTAACCGTTGCTTTATTTTTGAAAATGCAAGTCAATTTGTATAACTTCGGAAAATTATTACTTCTTTGAACTGTTTATATTAATAAAATGCTTTTGAATTTCTTGTTATGACAAATTTGCCACGATGGAGCAGTGGCTGCGCTGAGGTCTCGGGTTCGATTCCCAGGTCGGACCAAATGTTATGTTTGTATGATCTGAAAATATTTGTTGTTTCGGAGTTCGGGTGTTTACTATGTATTTACAACAAAGAAGACTTACTACTTTTTTTTGTAAATACATCAGTCAATCTAGCTTTCATGGTACAAGCTCTGCTTATTTTAAAACCACATAGCGTTGTCTGTCAATGTCCAAAAAAATGATAAATATGAAATAAAAATCCTGATTTTTAATAAAAAATGATGTCGTAAGAGTCGACTAAGGGAAAAAACTACGCAGAACAACAGCACTGCAGCGAGAAGGAAAACTTGACACAAACCCTATACTAACCCGTCTGGCCAGCGTGGTATAGTAGGCCAAAACCTCCTTTCTAAGGAGAGGCTTATGTCCAGCAGTGGACTGTTAAAGACTGTTGATGTGACTAGTACTTGCCCGCACGTGTCATGAACATTATTTGACTTTAATGTTTTACGACATAATTATTTAACACCAGTTATCACTTTTAGTTAGTTACCAAATCTTATTGTGAAATTCTGATTATCATCAGAAGACTTGTTATTTAGCTTTCATCCAATGATTCATCATTTTCGTTCGATCTTGAAACTTTTCTAAGAATATTGACCGTGTGAGTATACTTAAAACGGGAACTTCCTTATGGTAAATTCTTCAATCTAATACTAAATATATCATTATGATTAAGTACCACTTGTGTAGTTTTGGGAAGACACCTGAAGGCTAATTCTCGTAATAAAAGTTCGGTCTCAATTCCATTCCGATCAACTTTTTATCTCACAACTGTCATGAAAGGTATTCTCGTAGTAAGTATTAAACATCCAACGTTGGCTGTAATGTGATTACATATATCGTATTGTAACTCAAAATTGAATCAGTAATCTGCTAGTCTTGATAATAATTGTACTTAATACTCGTATTTTACTACGAAAATACTTTTTATGACAGTTGTGAGATTGAAAGTTAATTGGAACTGAATTAAGACCGAACTTTTATTACGAGAATTAGCCTTCAGGACTAACGATGAAGATTTTTTAACAATGTAATCCACAATTGGGTAATAATAGGCTTTCTGACATAATTTAAGCTTAATTGCGGATTTAAATTTGTTAATACTTAAGTCTTGAATATCTTTTTACGGGATTTTATTATAAAATCGAACAAATTGACCTTGAAACGACTTGTTTAACTTTTGAAGCCTGGCAAGGAGAGTGATGTCAATTGAGTGGTATTTTTTTATGTTTGCGACCTCAGAACTCCAATATTTCTGAAACGCTTGGGAAAATTATTATTTTTATTTGAAATTTGATGAAAAAATACCACCCCTTTGTCTTCCTTTAAGGTCGGCTTTAAGTATACTACTACGGTACGGCTGAACTTCGATAGGTCGATAGGCGATATTGAAGTTCTGCAGAAAGACTGTTGTCGAACTTTTTAGGGCTCCAACTTAGCCGTAACGATTGCTTCAGGTGTTCGTATGGCAACCGGGTCCGACGGCTTCTACCCTACTCGGTTACCTTTGAGCCATGAGCCCCTCTAAAAAAAACTCCCCCTAATGGTGGTAAATTAAGAAATGACTGATATAGTTTATTGCAATTCATCATGCACACAGGCACTTCGAAGTCGGTGATACTTTTTTTAAGTTTAATTATTTGCGTATAAATTTAAGACTTGCATTGTTACAGTAAGTTCTGGAATTTCAACTAATTTGTATTTGGAAAATTTAAGAATTTGTAGTACTAATTGATTTCGTTACATTTTCATTTTGAGTTTTGTATCTGGAATCATATAAAACTTACTACAAAATTGTTAATATTACAATTATTTCCCATGTTACCATTGTGGTAAACAGTTCAGTAAAAAATATTACTTCCTAAGTTCTTTCACGATAATTTTGTTTAAGTTTTATTTAATTAACGTTATATTGTGTGTTTAAGTAGCGCTTAAATAATGACGCATGGATATCAGTATTTGTACATATTACAATGGTAGCAGAACTTTCTAGTTGTAGCACGTAGATAAGAATCTTAATTAAAATAGATATTAGATATACTTATATTTATCATTCCTACTGCCTGGTTCCTAGTTGTTCTGCACACCCATTGTTATCTTCCATTGATGCTTAATTGTGATTACATAGCGTAGGTATGTTTATATACTCCAGTTGTGTTAATTAGTCTGAGTTCTCTATTTAGACTTGTATTTGGTGAGATACGAGGAGTGTGATAAGCGTTATAGCGATGTTTTGTTATCAGTCGTGAGCAGCGTCGTAGCGGCCGGGCGTTGCCAGTCGGCGGGCACCCACGCCGCGACAACACACACTCCGTCTGTTTCAAAGTCAGTCATGCGACGGACGAGTGTTATTCGCTTCGAGCCTCGACCAACGCTCTAACCCAGTTCAGTACGTGTGTGTCAAGTGTAGTGTGGGGCAATCAGTGTTTACGTGCAAAGCCAAACAACATACTTGTATAAAACATTCATTTTAATCTTTTGGAAGCTTAACGTCTCTAACGTCTGTAATAACATATTCTTATACAATAGATGCTACTTAAGTAGACATATGGGACAGTCTTAGAGATGAGTACAACTAAAACTAGGTAACGATCTTGAGATCTGAATCAGTCTGTTGTGTGGCGGCGCGTTACAACGCGGGAGCCACGGCGGTCTGCATCGAGACCGGTATGGCGAGAGGTGGCGACGGTAGCAGCTTCAGCACTGGCGCAGGAGGCACCCTCTCTTTGGCGTGTCTCTTCACATGTTTGGCGAGGTGGTCTGAGCGCATGAAGCGGCGGTTGCAGACACGGCAGCCGAACTTCTTCTCGCCGGTATGAGTACGTTTGTGCCGGGACAGTTCGTCGGAGCGGGAGAACCGTCGCTCGCAGCCTGGCCAGGCACACCTGAAGGGCTTTTCGCCGGTATGTGTTCTCTCATGTGCTTTCAAGTGTGAAGATTTAAAGTAATTTTTTCCACATCCTGGATGTGGGCACTCGTAGAGCCGACGGCGGGCAGCTGGCGCGGGCGCCACCACCCATAGTGCTGTGGTGGGAAGTAACGTGCCGGGTACCAATACTGCTGGCGCGGGGCGCGGTGCCAGGGGCGGCAAACTGCGAGGAGTACACGGCGCCACAGCAGGGTACAGTACTTGTGGCACACGCTGTTCGTCATGAGTTTCATTACGTTTGGGTGGACACTTAACGAACATGGATGGACACTCGGGATGGGGCGAAGGCACGCGCGCTTCCTCCACCTTAGCTGGTGGAGGACTTGGTGGATCCACTGAAATTGGCGGCAAGGCTTGAGCTTGCACTGCCATATATTTGTATTGCGAATAACTTTGGCCGCGGTTCATCTTGAATTTAAGTGTTTTCAGGATGTTCATGTCTTGGGGCGGCGGCGGTGGCAGCGGCTCCGGGCTGCAGGTTCCGTCTTTGTGCGCACGCATGATGACAGAAGGCCTGCAGCACGGCTCCGGTGGGGGTGTGGTAAGTAGCAGGCGAGCCAGCTCGCATCGCGACCGTTTGCTGAATTCCTCCTCCCCCTCCGAGTCGGAGGGTTGTGGAGTGACCAGCCCGGTCGGCGGCGATGGTGACTCTCGGGCACGCTTTACTGCAGCCTTCTTCAAAGGTAACTCGACCTGCGAAACAAAGACAGATGCTCGGTTAGTGAACGGTCGCAAATGTAAGCACGCGCTGGCTGCGTGATCGCGCCGTGCACGATCTTACCATACTTTCGATTGCACAAACGGCACAAAGATTTTTTTTGTACATATATAATTTTTTGGGGCTCTGTAATATATATATTTTTTAATTTTAAATAAAGTTTTCAAACTTTAAAAACAAAAGACACTCACTTTATTTTCCATCAACGGCGGCGTTGACGGCGGTGAGAGGGGTCCGCAAACTTCTAGCATCGTCGACATTCTGATCAAATTAATAACATTCAACGAAATAAAACTTTCTTTTAATTCACAAAACTTGTGTTTTGGTTGCGCGGTTCCGCTATTGGGAGCCGTGTAGTTCGGATAGCGAGCAACAACCGAATAAACCGTGCAGTGAGCGCTCGAGGTACGAGGCATGCGAAGGTGAGGTGCGCGGGGGGCGAGCGGCCAATGGGAGCTGGTTGTTTGGCGGGCTCGGCCAATGAGCGGCGGGTGATCACGCAGCGAGCGCGTGGCGGCGCGTGGTCTTCACGTGCACTAGGTGTGAGGGCTCGCGAGGTCGGTGCGTGACGTAAGCGGCGCGCCCCCGCATGACGTCGCTAGCGCCCCTCGCTCCGCACAAGGTCGCGCTGCACACACCGCACCGTTCGCACCGACACATCAATGACACCAGTTTGCATCTAGCTCTATTTTGACAGTTTGGGGTCGATGACCAGCCATCGACGTATATTTGCAACTTTCGACGCCACCGTTCAGCTCTTTATGCATTAGAAGCAGTTGACATTGCCTGCCTTCAAATAAAACCAATGCTTCCACAGGCACTCTACGATAAATTTTATCAGAGTAATGAATATTCAGATAGCTATATCGGTAGTGCGCGCAAATTAAATAATGATAGAAGTTTGTAGGTACGCATCTATGACATTAGTTTAATATCTTATTGTGAACATGTCAGTAGGCTATGAATAATAAACCGCTTTTGTATTATTTGTTGAGACAACGCATTATCCTACATACATAAACAAATTACTAATCACCTTATGAAGATATAATAAACTTTATGTTTAAAACTGAAAGATTCAAAATTAATAAATCGAATAAATCATTTTTAGTGTCGAATAAAAAAAGAAAACAAATTGTTTTATTTTATTTATCGTTTTCAGAAAAAAATGTTTACTTACTTAAAACTTATACTTAATTCAATTTTGGACTATTTTAAAACCAAAATTGTCTTCCGTAGAAAATCTGTGTTACCTTTTAACAGTTCTGCCAATCTGTTTCATTTCCTAATAACCGTGTAAAAATAACTACTATTGCATCATATTATGAAACTGGAAGGAAGAGAGTACAGATCTAGACCAGTGAAAAACAGTACAGTGAATAGTGAACAGTGAATACGAATATACTTACATAAGTTTCAATCGACTAATAAAACAAAATTCCTTAGTCGTTTAATTTAAAAAACTATAACTGAAACTTTATTTCTGCAGTCGAACGCGCCAAATGGTTAAATCTACTAATAATAATTTATATTTTTGGTTTGAAAGCTCTTTACGATAGTGACCATAAACAATGGTGAGAGCGCGGGAAACGGCTAGTAAAATATATAAGTATTTTAAATAAAGAATTTGGTACAGTTACTGTCGTCAATATTTATGCTTGTTTATTCGCGATGACTCAGTAATTCATGGTTCACGGAAGTTTTGAGGTAATAATTAATTATAATATAATTATAGGTACAATAACAGATACCATATATTATTTACTTACATTTAGTTGGCAATAAAAATTTGATTTGATTGAATACCTATATGAGGGTTATTAAACTATATTATGAAATAAATGAATGAATCTTTATTTGCAGTAAAATTTAGTCAATAAACAATCGGAAAATATGAAATGCGATTCGTTAATTGAAGAAGGTACTTAAGGTACCTATATAATTGATTTTACAGTTTTCCGTTTTTTATAGGATCTAAAAATGATGATAATGTTACGTCAGCAAATCAGTTAAAAAATTAAGCAAGTTGTAAACTCTGTTGTAAAGTTTTGACGGGTCTGTTGGTCTAGTGGTTAGTGACCCTGACTCCTAAATCAGAGGTCGTGGGTTCGATTCCCACTCAGGACAAATATTGTGTGATGAGCACGGTCATTTGTTATGTCTGGGTGTAATTTATCTATAACATGTATGTATTTAAAACTATATAAGAATGTTTATCAGTCTAGTTACCATTGTACAGGCTCTGGGGTACCTAGTTTGGGATCAGACGTCCGTGTGTGAGATGTGTGAGATATATTATTATATTATTATTAAATATTTGTTTCTTTCGGTATTTTTACATAGTTATACTCCATGTTTATTCTGCCAAATCAAGCAACGTTAAAATTTTGATGTCGGGTGTATCATTTAATTTATTTTCTAATGTAAATAAAATTCAAAGGATTGATTAATGCATGGATTCGTCTTTATTGTGATTGTATTTCCACGTACATAATATTGTATGGTTAATAGTTTTTGTTTAAAAAGTTTCATCATACATGGTTGTTTTGTTTTAAAATGGTTATTATTTTAGCCCTTGATCGTAACAGCTGCTATTTTAAGTGTATATTCCTCATTTATCTTTAAAGCATTACTCATAAATGGTAATTTCTTACAACTGGAAGTGTTTAACGGTTACGACGCCAGTATCTACATAACGTGTGTTTGTGTGTATGCGCTGACGCATCGCGCCATGTCGTGAAAGTGAGTTCCATGCGCCGGCCGAGTGATCGAGTGTGGTCCGAGTGATAAGAGGCAGTAAGGTCACATGTAAATTACATGGGCGTGGCACTTGTCAATGAAACTGCGTAAATTGATAAATAAAATGATGATATTAATGAAATTATAATCTTATTTTTTAAATAACTACTGATAATTTACTGTCTTGTTTGGTTTATATCGTGTTGAGTTTTGGTCTGATTTAACACTGTTAATCAGACCAAAACTCAAGTCGACTTTGAGGTAAGGCAGCAAGATTACCGTAAGGATTATCAAAATAATCAAAACCTTAGTAGTACAAATGTCCTATTGTACAACTCCTGCTTTTGCTCCTCACCCATATGTAAGACTATATTAAAAATAAGAGAAACCAACCAACTAGACTCTCATGATCGGCTATTAAACTACAAAACTAAAAATCTTCTTGGGGAGTATTGTCTTAGGAGGTATTAGCCGCTAGGTATACCTACCAAATACTTGTTGTTAAATCCTTTACTTACATAAAATTTAAAGCAATTAGTTCTTTGTGTTGAAACTTGACCTAATTTAAAAATAGTTTAAAATAATACATTAATAAAAATAAATACTATCTTCATAACAACATATCCACCTACCATCACAATATAAATAAAACACAATTCAAACATCAAAACATTCTTATCATGAATCATGAAGCAAGACGCCAATCTTTCGTGAATTGTACCACGCACCAACTGACGTGTGTGATGTAAATAAACACACATGTGTGTGTTGTTGTGTGTTGTTTGGGGAAACCACTGGCTGTTTCGACGGACGCGTTGACGTAGCGCGATAAAACGATCATTTGTGAACTATACACGTTAGAGGTTTCATTTCAAATACTTAATGTTGTTTGATGACGTTTTAGGATGAGTCGAATAAGATTATGTTAGGGTTTTGTTTTACTTCTATAGAGGCAAACAAATGCCCCGCCACCTGGATATCTTGTTGATTACTTATGGTTTTAAAATAAGGCTACTAAAATTGGCAAAATTATTTCAGGGTTTACTAAATTTTAATTTAGTTCATGATTTTTCCGGGTAAAAAGTAGTCAGTGTACTGTTGAGGGTTAATCTTTATTCTAATATTTAAAAAAAAACTTTATTTATTTATTTCTAAGTAAATTGTAATGAATAATGTGATGTCATAAATTATTGTTATTGTCTATGGAACCAGTTTTCTGAAATAAATTATTATTATTATAATCCATATCTCTGCCTGATCTGATCCAGATACGTTCAAAAGTTCTGCCGTAACTAAATAACAAACACTCATCCAAACATATCGTAGTACGTAAGCTGTGTTTTTTTGCAGAATTGAGATTCTACGGGCCATTTACGGCGTGAGGGTTCCCCCTTCTGTGTGGAAACCCCCTTGTGCTCCTTGTGCTCCGAAAAAGGCGCGCGTGCTCTCTGCGCGTTTTGTTACCACCCCGGCCTGCTTCTGCTAGGGTGACAGGTGGCCTCACCTACTACCCCCAGGTCTGCGCTTATGGAGGACGAAGATCGTTCTGCGTTCGCGCCTGAGTCGTCTTCGGTACCAGCAGTCATATTCAATAACCACCAAAGCAAACGAATTATTAATCAAACTGTAAACATGTAAAAAACTAATTATTAATCCAACTGTAAACATGTAAAAAGATTCGAAAGTTACTAAATACTACAAGAAAATCTCTTTTAGTTTTTAGTTACTAAATCTAGATAGTCTTTAATATCATGTGTCGTTTTCGAAACTATATTTGTGTTACGTTTCAAAATCTGCCTGACGCAAATCTTAGTTGAGAACGTAATTACTATACTATTACTAGACTAGCTGACCCGCGCAACTTCGTCTGCGTCTCTCAATGGTAATACATTTTTTCCGTTTTTTGAAACATTCTTCATTGGTGCTCCGCTCCTATTGGTCTTAGCGTGATGATATATAGCCTATAGCCTTCCTCGATAAATGGGCTATCTAACACTGAAAAAATTTTTCAAATCGGACCAGTAGTTCCTGAGATTAGCGCGTTCAAACGAACAAACAAACTCTTCAGCTTTATAATATTAGTATAGATTATGAAATTGGTAACAATTCCAATGTCATATCACCTAAACCGGTGTTCATTCCTTTTCACCGAGTCATCATTAACAGCCTTTAACAGCCACCTGCTGGACATAGGCCACTCCTTAGAAAGGTGGTTTTGGTCTACCATACCACGGGTTGGTAGGTAGGGTTTGTTTCAAGTTTTCCTTCTCTTTGCAGTGTTGTGGTCCTGGGTATTTTGCTCCCAAAGTCAACTCTTACGACACCCACGCGATGAATAGGGGTGGTGCCACTCCGTATTCTTAATCCCTCACCACACGGATTGCTGTCAGACAAAGGAAAAAGGTAACTTGGACTTGGGGTAAGGTTAACTGATAGGGCAATGGAGCGGTGCAGTTGTAGCGTATGCTAGGGTCACGGGTTCGATACCCAGGTTGGACCAAATGTTTGTAAAATCTGCAAA